AGCATTTTGCAAGCTCTGGTGTCTCACTTCAGCTTTCCACTATGGTTCTCTAACATGGTCTTTTGCTCTGTTGGATTAGTATTTGGGTGAGTGAAAAACAACCAAAGGTATACATCTGAAACTCCTTCTCTGTGAATATTCCACCATTCCAATGCCTGTAACTGCAAATTTCAATCACCTCAGCAGTCATGAACATTGGTTTCTTTTTCTTCAACTAGTCAAACCACTGATCCCTTCATTTGAGCTCGACTTCCCTGTACTTAGTTTTGAATTTTTCCCATGTTGAACAGTAAGGTAAGTAGTGTATAGCTCTTCCAATGTGTTTTAGTTTTTTGAATGATCAAGCCACTGCATATGTTGTTCAATACTTGAAGTGTTTCTTCATAGATTTTGTTCAGTTTTATAAATTTTTATAGCATAAGTGAGACACTCATTGATTCAGTATGGCCAAAACCTTAATTTCAAGTAATAATTTTTCAAGTATTCACTATATGAAAATGTTTTTTATCAGTGTGTTAGAAACACAAATAAATTTCCTAGTCCCTACAACATATAAATTATGGATTGTTTTCCCAATGGTACAGTTAAAAAACTTGAGTGGCTATGAGATTAAACTATCTAAGGTAATACAAGGTAAGTGGTTAATAAGTAAGTGTTGAGCTGTGTTTTAAATTCAGGTCTGTCAGACACCAAAATCTGTTCTTTTAAAATTTAAGCTAATTGTTTGGGAATATTTTATAGCCTACCTATTTGTTTAATGAAATCTTCAAACATGCCTAATTGGTATGTTGTATTTAAAACAAATACTATCAGAGCTGAGCAACCTGTGCTTGAAGTAAAAATGCAGAGCACAGAGCCACATATATTCCAACTCGGCCAAACCCTCACCATTCTACTCCTGGGTGATGGAAAATTAGATATGCGTGACTCCTAGACATCTTTTAAATACAGTTTTAAACCATTGCACTATATTATGCGGCTTACGAGGATTCATTGAAGTTACTGTGGATATTTTATCTGTAGAAGAAAGAGCTAAATGAAGATACAATAGCTACTTAAGTAAGTTTTTAAAAGCCAAGAAGAGGATAATTATTTGGGGGACAGATTTTGAGGGCATGCAGTTGTGAGGTAGAGAGTGTATGCCAAGCTGCAGAGCATGAATCTGGATGTAATATAAGATGCAGGTACTGAGTTGATTTAAAATCATGCAGCTATTAAATGTTCTTTCCACCCACAGACATGCACACAGAAAAGAACAACAACAAGACAATAGCAATAATGTGAAGTAATGTACATGTTAATTAGCTTGACTGTGGTGATTATTTCACAATGTACATGTATATCAGATCATAAAATTGTATATCTTGAATACAACTTTTATTTGTCAATTACACTTCATTCAAGCTGGAAAAATAAGATAATTATGTCAGAACCAATTGGCTATGTAAAATTTGCAAGAAGCAGTATTAAATATTTTATCATCTGTAAATTGTATACTACATATTATTTATATTGGTAAAATTTGTAATCAATTTATTATTCAGGATTTTCCAGAAAGACCCAATGAATAGGATATAGATAGATAGATAGATAGATAGATAGATAGATAGATAGATAGATACACAGATACATATATCATAGAGAGGAGATTGATTAAGGGAATTTGCTCACATTATTATGTAGGCTAAGAAGTTCCATAGCATGTTGTCTGAAAACTGGGAAGCTAGGGAAGCTGGTAGCAAGACTGTTCAAGTCCCAAACCCTCAGAATCAGAGAAACAACAGTGTAACTCGGAACCCAATGCCAAAAGCCTGTGAATGTGGTAGGGGCAGGAGGTGAGGGCATGCTGGTACAAGTCCAGGAGCCCAAAGAACAAAAACCTGGCATTCTGATGCACATATCAAAAGGCCAGAGAAGAAGGCCATTCCAACTTCAGAAAACAAAGAGTGAATTCTCCTTTCCACTGTCTTTGTTCTATCGGGCTTCCAGCCTATTGGATGGTCCCTGGCCCATATTGAGGTGGGATATTCCCTACTCAGTCCACCAACTCACATGCCATCTCCTGTGGAAACACTCTCACAAGACACACCTGCTAATACTGCTTTACCAGATATCTAGACATCCCTTAATCTAGTCAAAATGACATCTAAACTTATTTATTATTGGTATATATTAATAAAAAGGAATAAAGGCCTTGTGAAGAGTCCAAATAAGATATGATCCTGAAAAGGATTGGTAAAGATGTAGAATTCAGATGCATGGCACAAGACGAAAATGAGGAAGACCAGATCAAAACAAGTTACTGCGTTTCAGGGTAGTAGGAGGTAGATAATCCTAGAATATCTGGGGCAGATACCCAACTTAAAAGCTACCCTGAAGTAAGGGTAGGCAAGGAGCTTATACAAATGCAAAACCATCATGAAGAATTGTATAGAAGGAAATATTATACTGACTGATAAATCAGATTAACTTCCATAAGATTCTCAGTTATATATTACATTTTTAATATTTGAAATTGAGTCCATGTGTTCCCGTTGGACTGTCAAGATATTTATCTCAGTAATATTTTGAGAAATTGGGACATTTTTTATTATCAGGTTAAATCAGATATTAAATTAAAAGGCACATATTCTGCTAAGATACTATCAATCAAAAAGTGTATTTTAGAACTCCAAACTAAGAAAGTTGTGTAGTTTTAATTACTATCCACAAGATATTTTAATGCTGGACCAGGATATCTTATAAACCAGAGTCCATATAAAATTCAGCAGTTTCTGCTATCCTGTTGAGCTCTGTGACTACTTTGTAAAAATAATCCAAGATCAAATATAGATTTGATCTTGCAAGAAAGAAGACAGTCCAGTACTTTAGCCATTTGGGTAAGCAAATGAGGCAAAACAATTGATGAGTTCCAGTTATATACTATAATTAATTAGTAGTCATAGTGACTAGTCATAGTGACTAGTCAAAGTTGACATAGTGTCAACTTTCTTTGCTGGAGGAAGAAAAACTATAAGAAGTTGGAAGGTCAGTATATTCTTTATCATTTATATATACATATACATTATATGTGTGTATCTGTGTGTATACACACATATACAGATATATATATACACACACATACATGTATATATGCACACATATATGTGTGTGCATATATAAAAACCAGATCTAAATTCCAGAAATTGCAATAATTTAGAAAATCATATTAACTTAGATCCTGATAGTTAAAATACATTTGCAATCCTAAAAATATCATTAAACTAGTTTCATTAAGACCTAGAAATAGTTTGCAGCTCAAGTAGAAAAGAGATTAAACCTATGTCATATTAATGAGTAAAATCTCACCTTATTTATCTTTTGATGAAATAACATAAATCAGTTCTCTCTCAGTACTGAGTTTGAAAATGTATCCTTCATGTTTCAATCAACAGTCAGCCCTGAAATGAACTTATAGCTGCACCTAATTTATCTTCCTCTAAAATCTGGTTGTTGAATGTGTTGAATTCATTAGGCAATAAAGGGGGGGATGGGTGCTTTTATTTTTATTCATGCATCATCACAGGAAATGTAGGAACCTTAGAAAGTTCAAGATGGTCTAGGATCAAAGTTGTGTTTCAGAAGATAAGAAGATGCTGAGACTTTGATCAGAGTTTGGAATTCCTCAAATTCATTGGAGATTGTCAAAAATTATATCTTTGTGTTTGTATATGTGTGTGTGAGGGAGAAAGAAGGGGGTGAGGTTGAGAGAGAAAAACTGTTATGTGTCTCTAATTAGATGGGAAGCTTGCAAAGGTAAGGAAATATGTATTGTTCACTGTTATGTCTTCAAAAATTTACAAAATGCCTAAGACAAAATAGAAGCTCAATTAATAATACTTGAACACTTAATGGTCAATTAATAACACTTGGATGAACCTATAGTAAACATATTATCTAAGAGCTGTACAATATAATTTAAATTCTATTCATTTTTTCCATTCCCACAAGATAATTTTATTTAAAAAATCAATTACTATTATTGTACTCCATCAGTTCCTATTTCTTTTAACTATGGAGAGGGTTTGCATAATCCAGACCCTAGTTGGGTTGGACACTGCTAAATTTTGCATTTAGAGCAAGAACTAAGCAGCATGACTCACTGGTTATGTTTTATTTTTATGCAATTCTATACCCAGATATTTTTGTTTTATCAGTGGCTCTTGTAATGGTAGAGGACTGTTGACATCAAACTTTCCCCAACTCAGTTGCATTAGTTGTCAGTTAACCACCTTATCTATGTATTAGTTGCTCATTGTTTTGATTTTTGTGTAATAATTTATTGTTTAGGGATTCTACAATTTGTTTTTTCATTCACTACTTGATGAACATTTCTGGGTCATAATCCAATGCATTTATTTATTTACTTATTTTTACTCAAAATTTTCTAATGTTAGCCCATAGGAGCTTTTTTAGGTTGTTTTCTGTGCCATTTGAGCATATCTCCAGACTTTTTTGAATATTTCCTTATTCTCATACAGCACAAGATGCTTCTAATCATCAGGTGAATCAACCACTTCAAGAATCTCTGATTCCTTTTACTAGACAATGCATGTTTTTTCTTTTCATTCACTTAAAAGGATTTAGTTCACTTATTCATGAAAAACTAGTTTCTAATTTTGAATAAGTCCAATTTATCTATATTTTTCTTGTAAAGGGTACTGTGACACAAAACAAACCTTTTTTCTAATATATGGCTATGAAGATTTTTCTCTATATATTATATAATTCATGAATTACAGTTTTAAATTTTAGATTTCAGTCTATCATTCATATTGATTTAACGTTTGCATAAGTTTAGATGTATGCATTGAAGTTCCAGTTAGTTAAGCACCACTGGTTGAGTGAACAAAACTTTCTCTAGTGAGTTTCTTTTGCATTGTTATTAATGAATAGCACACTGTATGTTATGTGTCTATTTATGTGCTCTCTAATCGGTTCTATGTTATTATTTTGCCCAGAACATGATAATACATGTAGAGCAGAGCACTGTGTACCAGTTACTAATGCCAGAAGAGGACTCTCACAATATGGAGGATAATGAAGATCATCACAATACTAGCCACCAGGAATAGAAGTGCAGATACTTCTGCCTACTGTCTCCTGGTATTGGAGTTACCAACAAAACACAAGTCAAGTACTTGGTGGAAAATTACTTTACTCACAAAAAGATACAGAGCAAGATCAGTTTCAATAGTGGACATCCGCCACCACATTCCCCCCTGGAAGACAATGCAGGGAAAGTGGCCTATGAGCACCCCATTAGTGCTGTGGTAGAGGGATCTTGACACCTCCTCCGGGAAGTCTGAAATATCAAAAACTAGGGGCATGCCTGAGGGCCACTGAAACACAATGCTTAAGCAGAACAAAGCCATACTCATTGAGTCTGAAACAGTAAGATACTTTCTCACTAAATCTAAACCTAGGACAGGTACTGCCTTTCCCAATACAACAGATTTTAGTAAATCCTCCAAATTTGTTTTACTTTGTTCCACTTGTTTCGGTAATTATCTATGCTGTCCCTTTCTATATAAAATTAGCATAAGCTAGTCAATACAACAAAAGTACATACAGGGAATTAGATTGGGTTTGCATTCATTCTATAGGTCAATTAGAGAATAATAAACATTATAAAAATAGTGAATATTCCATTCCATGAAATCGATATATTTATTCATTTACTAAGACATTTTTGATTTCTTAGTCAGCATTTGTAGATAACATGCAAATCCTGTATCTATTTTTGTTAACTTTATACCTACATATTTTATTTTTCCTGATGCTATTGTAACTATTACTTTAAAAATTAATTTCCATGTGCCTATAGTCCCAACTTCTTGGAACATTGAGGCAAAAGGCTCACTTAGGCCCAGGAGGGAGTTTGAGTCTAGCCCGGGCAACACAGAACCCCACCTCTAAAAATTAAATTAAGTTAAAATAAAAAAAAATTTCCAGTTGTTCATGCCCATTATGCAAATATGTAATTGAACTAGTACCCTGGAACATTCCAAAATTATTTTACTAAATCTGGAGATTTTGTTATAGATCTATAGACTATGAATACATATGCAAATATCTTGCTTATATAAATAGACTTATTTTACCATTTTTATTCTCTATGATTCTTATTTCTTTGTCTCGTTTTATTTCACTTACTAGGACTTTTGAAACTAGTGAGAGAGATCAACATTGCCTTGATCCTGATCTGAAGGGATAAGTTTACATGTTCTTTACTCATGTGTTGAGTTGGTTGATGAGCTTGTTGAATGCATACTTCATCACTTTTACTGTGTTTTTTTATTTCTAACATTTTCATTAGACTTTAGTATTTACAGTTTCTACCAGTCCATTGGTAATCACACATCTAATCTTTTGTGATATTCACTTTTTCCATAATTGTATTTAACAAATTAATCAGTTTTTTAAATTTTCTGAAGAGATTATTACAACTTCTGTGTCATATCTAAGTCTAGTTTAGTTGGTTGCTTTGTCTTACAGCTCTCTGTTACTTTTTTGTGTGCCTTGTATTTTGGCTAAAATGTATACAACTTTTGTTACTAATAAAAATGGGCTATCTTATCTCTTCTATTTATGTATGTTTTTATGTTTCCCCACAATATAATATTTGATTACAGCAGATTTTAGTGAATCTTGGAATAAGAAAGAAAGTTTGTGGTTTTTTTCCCCATTTGTTTTGATAATTCTAGTTAGTTTTCATTACTGATATGGACATTGTATGACATTTAAACAGATTTAACTAATACATTTTTTCTAATAGTATAAAGTAATTTATAAAATTAGAACTTCATATTCCAGTGTGGAATTGTGGACACCTTTTCTTGTCCTGGCCTAAAACCATTTGTGCCCAAATACAAATCATGTATATCACAATGCAGGAATAAAAACGTTTAAAAAATTTCTGCAAAATATTAGAGCTTCCTGGATGTCATAAGAAATTATGCAAGGTTGTTTCTTTTAATGCTTTAATTAGAGACTAGAGGAAATACACAAATATAAAAGCAAAGTGTTTTTATATTATGTTTTATATATCTTATATACTTATTTTGCCATTGAAAATAATAAACAATTTGCTGTTTATTATTTTATCTCTAGACATTAGCTCAGAGCCTGCAATTCTGTAATTGACTAATAAGCACTTACTGAATGAACAAATGAATGCATGTGTGAATATATGAAGCCATGAGAGAAGTAGGTTTTTGCAAGATTTCAGAGGCATATAAGTGACAGATTAGTGAATCAGGAACATAAGATAGCTACAACGTAAAAGTATATCACAGAAAAACATGAAATTCTGACTGGGTGCAGTGACTCATGCCTGTAATCCCTGCACTTTGGGAGGCCGAGGCGAGTGGATCACCTGAGGTCAGGAGTTAGAGACCAGCCTGACCAACAGGGTGAAACCCTGTCTCTGCTAAAATACAAAAATTAGTCAGGTGTGGCGGTGCCAATCGGTAGTCCCAGCTACTCGGGAGGCTAAGACAGGAGAACTGCTTGAACCTGTGAGGCAGAGGTTGCAGTGAGCTGAGATTGTGCCGCTGTACTCCAGCCTGAGCGACAGAGTGAGACTCCGTCTCAAAAAACAAAGAAACAAACAAACAAACCATGAAATTATAATTTTATGAACGATTTTATACTATTAGAAAAATATATTAGTTAAATTTGTCTGAATATCATTAGCCAAAAAAAAAAAAAAAGGTATCACTGGGAAACCATTCCCCTGTACATTTCTTGGAAAACTTGAGAGTAATTTCACAGTCTCCATAATATGGAATAGTTAGAAAACTCTGGAATGCATCAAACTTCAGTGATTTACTTTAAAGAAAATAAAGTTGTGTTTTTTTGTTTGTTTGTTTGTTTTTTGAGACGGAGTCTCGTTCTGTTGCTCAGGCTGGAGTGCAGTGGCGCAATCTCCACTCACTGCAAGCTCCGCCTCCCAGGTTCATGCCATTCTCCTGCCTCAGCCTCCCAAGTAGCTGGGACTACAGGCTCCCGCCACCACGCCCAGCTAGTTTTTTTTTTGTATTTTTTAGTAGAGACGGGGTTTCACCGTGTTAGCCAGAATGGTCTCGATTTCCTGACCTCCTGATCCGCCCACCTCGGCCTCCCGAAGTGCTGGGATTGCAGGCGTGAGCCAGCACGCCTGGCGAGAATAAACGTTTTAATATTAAAGTACTACATGCGTAAAAATTGTATTACCCAGAATATAACGTTATTTCTTTTTGAAACATCCACTGGGCAATTTGGCAACTAGGGTGAGTTGGGGAAACAAAAATAGACCAAACAAAATCAAAAGGCAAAGGGCAAAGCAAGAGTAAAAACTGATGAAAATCATGAATTACAAGTAGGATTTTGTGATGTCTCTAACTTTATTAGCATGCAATAAATGTAGTTTCATCATCTTCAAGGCTAATAAAAAAAGTTGTTGATTCTCTGAAATATGATTCTCAGAGAATATGATTCTCTGAAAAAAAGGGAATAAAGGATTGAGTCTATCACTTGAAAGAGAGAAGAGGGAACGTTATCTCAGCCAGGTGAACTAAGTTGAATATTTTTGACAAGATAGAAATATTTAAGTTTTTATGTTATTATATAAAATTTCTGGACTTATATCAGAAGCAGACAGTCAAATATCGATAAACAAAGCCTCTCTCAGGATGTAAATAACAATGATGCACTAAATTAAATAACAAATAAATAATATTCATTTCCTGAGTGTCTCTTCTCTGCTCTTAGGTAAAATAATTGCATATTTTCTTTAACATTTATTCAAATATTCAGCAAGTTATTGTTGGGTCCCCTTCACTGTCTGGTAGTCCTATAAGAATATTTGAAAATCGCACATATTATATTTAATAATGGCTGTGACTAAATAACAAATTAAATTTTATAGTTAAAGGTAAAAAAGCAAGTGATTAATTCAAAAAGGACATTCCAATTAGATTTGTGGATGAAATTTCAGAGAGATGTCACATAGACACCAGCCATTTACCTATTTTAACCATCTTGTATATAAAATATTTTTCTGTAAAACAAAGAAACCATGTAAAAAATTAGGTATCCAGTTAACAGGTTCTAGTTTCTATACATGAAGAGGAACTTTTGTCTTCAAATTTGTTTCAAACTTACATGCATGAAGGAAAAATACATGTGTTATCACAAACACATTTTTGTACTTAGTACCCCACCCCACAGAAATACAAACTACCATCAGAGAATACTATAAACACCTCTACACCAATAAACTAGAAAATCTAGAAGAAATGGATAAATTCCTGGACACTTACGCTCTCCCAAGACTAAACTAGGAAGAAGCTGAATCCCTGAGTAGACCAGTAACAGGTTCTGAAACTGAGGCAATAATTAACAGCCTACCAACCAAAAAAAGTCCAGGACCAGATGGATTCACAGCCGAATTCTACCAGAGGTACAAGGGGGAGCTGGTACCATTCCTTCTGAAACTATTCCAATCAATAGAAAAAGAAGGAATCCTCCCTAACTCATTTTATGAGGCCAACATCATCCTGATACCAAAGCCTGGCAGAGATACAACAAAAAAAGAAAATTTTAGACCAATATCCCTGATGAACATCGATACAAAAATTCTCAATAAAATACTGGCAAACCGAATCCAGCAGCACATCAAAAAGCTTATCCACCATGATCAAGTGGGCTTCATCCCTGGGATGCAAGGCTGGTTCAACATACAAAAATCAATAAACGTAATCCATCATATAAACAGAACCAAAGACAATAAACACATGATTATCTCAATAGATGCAGAATAGGCCTTTGACAAAATTCAGTAGTGCTTCATGCTAAAAACTCTCAATAAATTTGGTATTGAAGGGACGTATCTCAAAATAATGAGAGCTATTTATGACAGAACCACAGCCAATTATCATACTGAATGGGCAAAAACTGGAAGCATTCGCCTTGAAAACTGGCACAAGACAGGGATGCCCTCTCTCACCACTCCTATTCAACATAGTGTTGGAAGTTCTGGCCAGGGCAATCAGGCAAGATAAAGAAATAAAGGATATCCAATTAGGAAAAGAGGAAGTCAAACTGTCACTGTTTGCAGATGACATGACTGTATATTTAGAAAACCCCATCGTCTCAGCCCCAAATCTCCTTCAGCTGATAACCAACTTCAGCAAAGTCTCAGTATACAAGATCAATGTTCAAAAATCACAAGCATTCTTATACATCAAATATACTTATCTATTAAAATTCATTAGGGTGCAATTTACTTATGTGAAGGGTTGTTCTCTTATTTGCCGCTTTTTGGTAAATAGTATGAGTTTCAATTCATTTTTGAATGTGAATAGTTAAAAAGAATTTCACAAAAATTTTTTGCTCACAGCATCATATTCTAGCAGCATATTAATCCATCCTTAATAGTGCTTGTAAGAAAATACCAATAAAGCTGCTTTGCTTTTGTTTTTTTGTGTATATTTTTGTGTTTGTCAGAAAGCCGGTGGTAGCTTATGTAGCTGGAAACTTCTGAGCAAATTACTTACTTGTTAATTAGTGGTTTCAACCTAAAATATGATTTCCTCATAGGAGTGTGGATATATAATTATATATTGCCCTATATGAGTGTACAGATATATTTTATATTATATGTAATATATATATGTGTATATATATTTATATATATCTACACACCCCATACAATAGTGCAGAATTTGGGCTTTGGAAATTGATGGCAATTTTTTCTTTTGTAAAAATTTCCTGTTTTAAAATTTAATTTTTAAATTAACAAATAATAATTGTACATATTCATGAGTTACACAGTGATGTTTCAATAATGTAATGTATATGATCTGATAAGGGCAATTAGCATATCCATCATCTCAAATATTTGTCATTTATTTGTGTTGGGAACATTCAATATTCTCCTTCTAGCTATTAGAAACTATATATTATTGTTAAGGATGATCATCCTACAATGGTGTAGAACACTAGAATTCATTCCTCCTATTTGGCTGTAATTTTATACCTTCTAACAAATCTCTCGCTATCCCCTAGCTTCCCCTTCCCAGCATCTCGTATCTTCTGTTCTACTTTTTACTTCTATGACATCAACTTTGTTTAGCTTCTACATATGAGTGAGAACATGTTGTTTTTAACTTTCTGTTCCTGGCTTATTTCACTTACCATAATGTCCTCCAGTTCCTGGATGACAGCTCTTTCTTCTGACAATGTACTTACACCTAGAAAATAATGAGAATGTTGGAAATTACGTTTGTATGATAATTATATTTCTAATTCTAAATACTAGGAACACTATTTTCTCTTCCTTATATTCTGACTGTGGGGACCACTCATTCTCCTATTGAGTGGAAGAAACGACCAGTGCTAAAAGGAATATTCAGGACCCAATGTAATTTACGTTCGTATGGGAGAAGGGAAGTTAGGAAACAGAGAGATAATTAAAGAGAAAAAATGGCAGAAAATAAATTGATTAGTGTCTCCGCTCTTTCCTAAGTATCAAAAAATGTTAAATAATAAATAAATTAAGAGATGATGTCTGGCCTAACCATCTCATTGTACAGAAGCTGAAATTGTTGTCCAGTAATGTCAGACTTTCCCAAGAC